TCATGGGCAGGACGTTTCTCTAAGCTGAGATAGACTAGCAGTGCAGGAGTATGGGGAGATATGAGGAGCACGGCGAGGCTCCAACAGGAAGGTTGATTAGAGCCTTGACTTGGGGTCACTGCCAATCAAGTCTCAGCTTCAAAGTCTCTCCAGTGTGTGTCTGGCAAATACTCTTCTCCGGCCTTCCAAGAGCCCATCTGTACACTGCTGGAACACGCTCAAATACTAATTTCCACAAAATCAGTACAGTCAAAAAAATCCACAACTGCCCCCACAATTACCATGACTCCTCACAAGGAATTAATGTCTACATTATATGCAAATTCATGTTAGCTCTTTTTATTAATTTCTGCCCTTACCATCTCCCACCAATTTTGTTTCATTTGGGCTTTGAGGAATTCAAAACTGATTACTGGGCTAAAACTTTCTCTGTTCCCTAAGCCACAATCACACTACTACTTCTAGTTTGTAAAAACATACTTTATGGGTTGTAAGAAATTTTATTTCTTTCTCTTTACTACAGTAAAGTTAGTTGATGATGATGATATGATGATATGATCACTAGCAATATCCCCCAATTTTATCCACAAGGATTTGGAGACTCAAATAGATGGAGTAACTTTCCCTGAATTATATGAACTCTAGGTCTTCAACCCTCTTTCCCAACCTCACCTTGAAGGGATGGGATAAAGAGGATCTTCAAGTTCGGAAGAATGTTTTAAATCCTTATCTCTGCCCCCACCTCCCTGCCCCACCCCCGTCACCCCATTCTTCTCCCAGGGAAGAAATTTTCCCAAGGGTGTGCCAGAGGATGCCAGGATATTTTCCATTTAAGAAAAGTTTGGTTATTTCACCATTTCACAGGATACTTTAAGTTCAAGTCCTAAGTACTACTGGAACTGAGAAATTCTTTCTCTTTCTCGTCTTCTATCTCCAATCCTTTTTCCTCATCTCGATAAGTATCCTGTCTTCTTTACCCTTTGCCTCCATCCTGTAAAAGTCAATCACACAAATCGCATCATTCTTGTCATACCCAACTAAATCAGGGTTGAGAAGCGGGGTGGCAGCACTCTGAGTACAACAACAACAGCAAAAAAAGTTTGCTCCAAGAATGTAATTCTCTGCAAAACTGACTGCTGGGACTGCCTGCTGTAACCCGGGAGCAGTTTTATTTACAGCTGCTGAGATAACTTGCTGCAACTCTAAGACGAATTTTGCCCACTAATCAGAGCTTGCCAGCTCTCCAAACCCTTACTAGTGCCAATGAACTTTCTTGAAGAGCAATGTGTAACATTTCTCTCTTTAATAAAACCTCTAAACTTCTCTTCTTCAGACATACTGAAGACCACCTGGTCTATGTATATATCCCAAATTGCAAGTCTTTTTCCAAATAAAACATTAAATTTAGAGATTCAGCTCTAGATTTTTATTTTGACTTTGACAATCCTCATCCTCATTTTGTTTATGACCATCCTAGTGACCACCATTCTTCTCTTCCTCTTCCTCTTCCTCCTCATCTTCTGAGAGCAGACCCTTTGGATGGAGTCTTAGGATTCTACTACAAATAATACATCTTTGAGAAGTTCTCTATCAGGTTATATATATATTTTTATTTTTTATTTTTTTGAGACAGTCTTTACTGTCACCCAGGCTGGAGTGCAGTGGTATGTTCTCAGTTCACTGCACCCTCAGCCTCCCAGGTTCAATCGATTCTCCTGCCTCAGCTTCATGAGTAGCTGGGCTTACAGGTGTACACCACCATGCCCAGATAATTTTTGTATTTTAGTAGAGATGGGGTTTTGCCATGTTGGCCAAGTGGGTCTTGAACTCCTGACCTCAAGTGATCCACCCACCTTGGCCTCCAAAAGTGCTGGGATTACAGGCGTGAGCCACCACGCCTGACCTATTTTAAATGGCAAAATGCATTAATTAATGCAGTTGTATCTAAATTAAAGTGGCTCATATAAAAATTGAGGAACAACCTTACCATTTTCTCAAAGTTTTCACAATCATGTTTGGATATGTCACTTTCCCTGGGCTAAAAACAATGTTTAATAAAAGCTAAATAATTCTGCCCTCCAGGCTGCTTCTACTGCTGTTCACCTAGAAGCCAGAAAAATGAACAAACAGGGACCCTTGGCGCTCATTATTATTGTGAAGAAATTGCAGATGAAAGCTTAGTACTTTTTCTGAGTGAGTAAATAATTTATCTTGGAATAAAAACTTAGACAAAAAGAGATAAGATGAATACACAGTTACAGGCTTCAAAAATAGATATGTCTCACATCAATTTAGTGGACAATTATCCAAATATATTAAAGATTGTGCAACAGTATGGGAATACATTTATGATGGATTAAAGAGTGGAAAAGACGTAATGTAAAATTATATGTATTTGATGAAAACAATGTAAAAAATACACCACAGAAGAACATATGCATAGCTGATGAGTTATGTAAGGATGGTGGTTTCTAATTTAGTTGCAGTGTCTTCAGAGAACATGGTTTGCATGAACCCTGTTATTTGTTATTTGTTGAGAGCTGCACTGCTTCTATTCAGTGGTCAGGTTTTATAAATATTCTATGTGTGCTTAGAAAAAACATGCATTTACTATTGGGCACAGGGTCCCTTCTCCATGTGACTGTTAGATCAAACTTGTTAATTGTATTCAAATCTTTTTTTTTTTTTTTTTTTTTTTTTTGAGATGGAGTCTCACTCTGTCACCAGGCTGGAGTGCAGTGGTGCTCTCTTGGTTCACTGTAACCTCTACCTCCCGGATTCAAGTGATTCTCCTGCCTCAGCCTCCCGAGTAGCTGGGACTACAGGCATGTACCACCACGTCCAGCTAATTTTTGTCTTTTTAGTAGAGACAGGTTTTCACCATGTTGGCCAGGATAGTCTCGATCTCTTGATCTCGTGATCCACACCCCCTCGGCCTCCCAAAGTGCTGGGATTACAGGCGTGAGCCACCGGGCCCAGCCAAAATATTTTATAGCTATACCAATTTTTAGTCTGATATAGAACATGATGATGATGTCTGAAATCTTCCCTTATGATTGTGGTTTTGTTTTTTTTCTGTTTAATTTTTGCTTTCCCTTTTGTGCAGCTATGTTATTCAATTTATACAAGTTTAAAACGATCATGGTTTCTTGATTAGTTGTTCCTTTCATTATCATGTATTCTCTCTCTTTATGCCTAGTACATCTTTTGGCTTAAGCTGTATTTTTCCTTGCTACCAGTACAGGTGATCTTCAACTTACAATGCAAAACCACCATAAGTTGATATAATAACTCAGTTGTGAGCTGAGAAGCATACTAAATTCCTGTCATTTTTGCACCATCATGAAGTTGAAAAACTAGGTCAAACTCTCATAAGTTGCAGACCATCTATATGGGTACACAAATGTTTTGTTAGTATTTGCTTGCTATAACTTTTCCATCTTTTGCTTTCAATCTTTCTGCAATTTTATATTTTAGATGTGTCTATTATAAACAAGACTTGGCTGAGTCTTCCACACCATAAATTTAGTCCATTTTCTTTTGTTTTTATTGCAGATAGATCTGGAAATGTTTTTGGTCTTATATTGTACTCCTTATAGTCATTTTTCTATACTTTTTCTCCTTCCCTTGAGTTATTGATAATAAGTTTAAGTTATTGATTTGAGATCTTTTTTCTTTCTCATATATGCATAAAAAACTACAAATTTTGCCCTAAGCTTTTCTTTAACTGCATCCTATAAATCTTGATATATGGAATTTTCATTTTCATTCTGTTCCAAATATATCTAATCTAGGACTTGTATCCAGAGTATGTAAATAATTCTTATAATTTATTAATAAGACAACCCAATTAAAAATTGGGCAAAAGATTTGAATAGAAGATGTAAGAATGGCTAATAGGCACATGAAAAGATGCTCAATATCTTAGTCATTAGGGAATTTAAAATTAAAGCCATAATAAGACCATTTCACATCCACTAGGATGGCCATAAACAAAAAGATAGGCAATAATAAGGCTGATAAGAATGTGGAGAAACTGAAACCCTCATATGTTATTGGTGGAAATGTGAAGTAGTACAGCAACTTTGGAAAACAGTCTGGCAACTTCTGAAATTTAAATGTAAATTGCCATGCAACCCAGCAATTTCGCTCCTTGATGTATTCGCAAGACACATGAAAATATGTGTCCACACAGAGACTTGTATGTCAGTGTTCATAGCAGCATTATTCATCATTACTAAAAAATGGAAACAACTCAAATATTCATCATATTCATGAAACATTGAATGGATGAAGAACATTTGGTATGTTAGCACAGTGGAATATTATTCAGCAGTGAAAAGGAAGAAAGACACTACTGTTACATGCTATACATGACAAACCTCAAAAAAGTTGTGAATTGAAACAAGCTATACGCTAAAGACTATGTATTGTAGGATTCCATTTATCTGAAATGCCCATAGAAAACAAATCTATAGAGACAGAAAGCAGACTGGTGGTTTCCTGGGATTGGGAGTGGATTGACAGCACATGGCACGAGGGATCTTTAAGGGCTGATGGAAACTGGATTATGATAATGGGCATGCAACTTTATAAATGTTCTAAAATCATTGAATTGTATACATAAAATGGGTAAATTTAATGGTGTTATACCTCAATAAAGCTGTTCTTTTTGGAAAAAACAGCTAGTGAACTAGACTAGCTCTGCATTTTTTTTAGAAATAATTTCTTACATCCGGTGCCTAGATGGCCAATATTAACTCAAGAAACTAATGGGCATAGAAAAATTAAATGTGCCTCAAAACACTCAAGATGAATACAGCAGTCTTCAATAGTCAACGTCATGTCTATTTCAGAGAGAAAAGGTCCAAGTTCAGTGGCTTGAACCTTGTTGCCTTCCATGAAAGGAAGCAGTTGGAATGAGCTTTGCCCCTGGTGACACTCTTCCTTGTCACTAATTAACCAGCTCTATAGGAAGGTTGCTCCGCCAACACCCTTCTCTGCCTGGAGAGACATCTGGCCAAGTTCCGGTGAGCAGGAAAAATGTCTACTCGTTACCACCAAGCTGCTAGTGATAGTTACCTGGAACTTCTAAAAGAGGCTACCAAGCGAGATCTAAATCTTTCAGATGAAGATGGCATGACTCCCACTCTCTTGGCAGCCTACCATGGGAACCTGGAAGCCCTAGAGATAATCTGCAGTAGAGGGTAAGTTCAACCCGATGGTTTCCGTTGGAAACAGTGTTCACAGTAGGTTTTTGCAGATAGCAGCAAGAGTCAGGGATGTCAATACAAATACTTTATCCTCTTTCTAGATTGTCTAAATGATTGGATTTTTAGAGAAAGAGAGAAAACTATGCTTAGAGATGCTCTCTTTTCTCACTGAGGTCTGGCAATATGGGAGTGGCTCATCCCTTAGCCCCAATCAGAGGAGAGACTCTGAACTCTAAGGCATTATCTGCATGGGGAAGAGGGAAGATATTTTAATTCTATGCCTTTAAAAATGCTTTTCATGAAATTTAAATAGTTTTCTCTTTTAAAAGAGGCCATTATTTTACTTGGTTTTAAGTTGTCAACCTTGGTTGGAACAAATGACAGTTTTTAGTTTTTTGTTTGTTTGTTTGTTTGTTTATCTATGCCATCAAAATCCCACAGTCTTTTATAAACTTTCAATCCCAGTGCAAGCTCATGATTTTTTTTTTTTATTTTTTATTCTTGACACAGGGTCTTGCTCTTTTGAATGGAGTTGCTGGCTCTACAAGGAATCTTTAGCCTGTCTTAGCTCTATCACTTGTTTGGCTAGTGGATAGACACACACGCACACACACACACACACACACACACACACACACACACCCCATCTCTTTGCCCAGATTTTAATGGAGGAGTCAGCTAACTCCTCTGCTTGTTCTGCCTGTTATCAGAGGGCTAGATTGTGTTGGCAACCATAATGCAAGAGGGTAAAGAAAGAGAAAAGGGCAAGGTAAATAAAGGAGCCAGGTGAATCCAATTCAATATACCCATTTATTCAGTATCTGTTATGTGCCAGCTACTTATCTGTTAAGAGATATTTTGCTAGCCACTGGGCACACTGCGATCAACAAGACAGCCACAATCCCTGTTGTAGTGATCAGATTTGAGAGAGGAAGACAAGACATCTATGATGTGTGTGTGTGTGTGTGTGTGTGTGTGTGTGTGTGTGTGTGTTTGCTTTGAGACGGGGTCTCACTCTGTCACCCAGGCTGGAGTACAGTGTCGAGATCATAGCTGACTGCAGCCTTGAGCCCCAGGCTTAAGTGATCCTCCCACCTGAGCCTCCCAAGTAGCTGGGACTAGAGGTGTGCGCCACCATGCCCTGCAATTTTTGTATTTTTTGTAGTGATGGGGTTTTGCCATGTTGCGCAGGATGGTCTTCAACTTATGAGCTCAAGTGATCTGACAGCCTCGGGCTCCCAAAGTGCTGGGATTATAGATGTGAGCCACTGTGCTTGGTTCATCTATGATATTTGTTACAAAAGGGGAAACAGAGGGCACTAAACAGGCATTTACCTCAATCTCAGGGGTGAGGGAAGGCTTCCCTAAGGGGAAAGCATTTAAGCTGGGATTAGGAAAATGAGAACAAGTTGGCCAGGTGAAAGAGTGTTTTCCCTAAGATGGAAAACTGTGTCCTGAGAACTAGAGAAGCTGAGTATGGCTGGACATGGCTCAAGTAGGAGTGGGGTCAGGGCAAGTGTGAGAGATAAGACCAGATCACACACAGCCTTGCCAACTCTGGTAAGGACTTTATCCTAAGGGCCCAGGAAGCCATGTCTTAGGTTTATGCAGGGAAGCTTCCAGAGTAGATTTATGTTTACAAAACTCACTGAGGTAGATGGATAACAGTCGGAGAGAATGTTTGGGGATGTTTTAATGGTTGAGATGAGTTGGACTAGGGTAGTGACATTGGGAATGGGAAGATATAGTTGGATTTGAGTGGCAGTTTGGATGTAGAATCAATAATGATTGACTGGACGTGGGCAGATAAAAAGGAGGGTTAAGGTCCCAGGTTTTGGATGTTGACACCTTTTATTAAAATAGGGGACATTTAGGAAGAGTCAGAAGAATCCAGGATTGGGAGAGTTCTCGAGTTGAAGATTGAATGAGGAAGTGAGTGAAGCAGATCTTCCCCATCTCTCTTGTCTGATTAAAACTTTCTTTTCTCAGACACATCGATCCCCATCAGCTAGCCTTCTCCAGTCATCTCATCTCTTCTATGCAGGCTAGAGTTCCCCAGCTTTCTCCATCTACAGAAAGGCTACCTCCTTCCACAAACTGCAAGATGTCAGTTACTTTAAAATCAATGTGTTAGCCTATTCTTGCATTGCTATAAGGAAATGCCTGGGCCTGCGTAATTTATAAAGAAAAGAGGTTTCACTGGCTCATAGTTCTGCGGGCTACACGGGAAGCATAGGAGCTTCTGCTTTTGGGGAGCCTTCAGGAAGCTTCCAATCATGGCAGAAGGAAAAGACATCTCACATGGCAGAAGCAAGAGCAAGAGAGCAAGGGGAGAGGTGCTAGAAACCAGATCTAATGAGAACTCACTATCATGAGGACAGTACCAAGGGGGATGGTGCTAAACCATTCGTGATCCAGTCACCTCCCACCTGTCCCTACTTCCAACATTGTGGATTACAATTTGATTTGAGATTTGTTCCCCACGAAACCTCACAGATCCAAACTGTGTCAACCACTGAGTTTGTCCTCCTAGAAGAGGGTGTGGGGTTCTTCTCAGTCAGCAGAGAGCTCTTGTTCCATTTGAGGACCATTTTGAATAGTAATGCTTAGGTATTCTCTCTCTCTCACCTGTGAAAGCTTGAAATATTCTCTTACAATAACTGTTCTGCTGGTCTTTATTTAATTTTTATTTTTAATAGAGACAGGGTCTTGTTTTGTTGCCCAGGCTGGTCTCGAACTCCTGAGCTCAAATAATCCCCCTGCCTCAGCCTCCCAAAGTGTTGAGATTACAGATGTGAACCACAGCACTCAGCTTGGTTCTGCTAGTCTTTAATTACAAAAGTAACATGAGCTGAACCCAGAAAATTAAACCTTACATATGCACACAAAACATGAAGACAAAATGTCCTATAATGCCATGCTACTAAGATGTATATAGTTCTCTCTATATATAATATAGTGTGTATAAATACATTTTAATATTCTTCTATAAATTTCAGGGACTTTGTAGGACTCTAATCAGCAAATACATTTCTTAGCCAACCCCTCTCCTGGACACACAGTTTGTTTTCCCTAGTTTGAAAAGTGCTGTGATGACTATCCTTGTACATAAATCTTTGCTGACATTGTCTTTTTTGTGTTTTTTTTTTTTTTTTTTTTTTTTTTTTGAGAGGGAGTCTCTCTGTCGCCTGGGCTGGAGTGAAGTGGCGTGATCTTGGCTCACTGCAACCTCCACCTCTCGGGTTCGAGCAATTTTCCTGCCTCAGCCTCCCAAGTAGCTGGGACTACAGGCATGCACCACCACGCCCGGCTAATTTTGTATTTTTGTATTTTTAGTAGGGATAGGGTTTCACCATGTTGGCCAGGCTAGTCTTGAACTCCTGACCTCAGGTGATCTGCCTGCCTCGGCCTCCCAAAGTGCTGGGATTACAGGCGACAGCTACCGGGCCCGGCCATATTTTCTTGAGAATAAATTCTCCAAAGTGAAATTTCTGAATCAATTTGCATTTGTGTTTGTCCATTTGTACTGCTATAACAAAATACCTTAGATTAGGTAATTTATAAAAACTAGAAATTTATTTCTTACCATTCTGGCAGCAGGGACATCCAAGATCAAAGCACCAGCAGGACTGGTGCCTGGTGAGAGCCCTGTCTCCGCTTCCAAGATGGTACCTTGTTGTTGCACCCTCTGGCTGTGTCCTCACATGGAGGAAGGGAAGGAAGGGGCAAAAAAAGAGGCAAATTCCCTGTGTCAAGCCCTTTTATAAGGGTGCCTGACCCCATTCATGAGGGCAGAGTCCTCATGACTCAATCATCTCCTAAAGGCCACACTGCTTAACGCTGTTACGTTGACGATTAAGTTTCAGCATGAATTCTGGAGGGGACACAAACATTCAAACCATAGCAGCGTATGTGCAATTTAAAGACTTTGTATATAAATGGACATGTTGTCCTTCAGAAAGTGAGTACCCATTTTGGCCAACGTGATAGGTCCAAAATGATATATCAGGCTGGGTGTGGTGGCTCACTCCTGTAATCCCAGCACTTTGGGAGGCCAAGGCGGGCGGATCACTTGAGGCCAGGAGTTCGAGGCCAGCCTGGCCAACATGGCGAAACCCTATCTCTACTATAAAGACAAAATTATTGTGGTGTGGTGGTGCACGCCTATAATCCCAGCTACTCAGGAGGCTGAGGCACAAATTGCTCCTGAATCCCTTGAACCCAGGTGGCGGAGGTTGCAGTGAGCCGAGATGAGGCCACTGCACTCCAGTCTGGGCAACAGAGTGAGACTCTGTCTCAAAAAACAAAACAAAGAGAAAATGATATATCAGTGTGGCTTTAATGTTCTTTTCTTTGGTTACTGACGAGGTTGAAAATTCTTTTTATGCTTAAAAAGAATTGGCCATTGGAATGCCACTTTTGTGAACTGTGTATTTATAAGACCTTATTCCACTTTTATATTGGGGTTTTCAACATTTCTCCTTGATTGATAAAAATGCTTTTGAAAGTTAACAATATCAACTCTTGTCATATAGGTTACAACTACTTTACAATACACGGTTTATATTTTTGACAACAGATTTTTACATATAAATGTAAACAAATATATATATTTATATATAAGTCTATCAGTCTTTGTTTTGTGATTCTAACTTTGAGGTCATGACTCAATATTGACTGATCCTTTAGTGCCATTTTTAGTTTCATTTGTTATTTTAAATACTTTATAGAATTTAAGATCTGAATTATGATCTAACTCTGCATTCTCCAAGTGGCTACTCATTTGTTCCAACACAATTAGTTGTTACAGTCTCTCTCTTTCTCCACTAAATTGACATGGTAACATCATTTCTTTCAATGTAATATCAATATCCAGCCCCCCGTTTGCTTATGTTAATATTTATTAAACACTGGCTATGGGTACAAATATTCTTCTAACCTTGCTTTTCCTAGTCCTTCCTTCTCAACTCCTGTCTTGGATCTAGTAGATCTCA